GAAATTGTGGGCGGTTGATGTTCGCGGAATATTTGATCGCGTTTGTACGGTGACGTTTCATTCGTGGGTGTAGATACATGTGCACATAGTCTCTAAGGGAAATGTGCGTTTCTTGGAAAATTGTTTGAGATGGTACGTCGCTGGAAGAATCGCGCGTTTCCTGTTCCACTTACTAAATGCAGGCCCTGCTATTTCCGTGCTGCAATCTTCGGCTTGTAATATCAGCGGTTAGACTGTAGTCCTTAATTACCGTGACAACTGTTTTATGCTTTTCTACCTCTCTATTTGATACTACTGGACATCTTACTATGGATTGCAATTTTCAGATTACCAAATTTTCGAGTTTTTTATGAATCAAGTCTCTAAATTCCGAAATTTACAATTTGATAAGTTTATAAATTCTTAGTCACTTTTACATCAAATTCAAAACCCACAAATTTCCAAATCTCTAATAGACTCAAATACTCACGATTCTGCGCACATGTCTACATCTACATCGTTAGGCGTCTGTTCGACATCGATCTTCTCATCCCCCAAAAGCACTAAAACCTAAGTCCTAATCAAACCGCGTCCTTTATACCGATCGAGTAAATTTACGAGCACGCTATATTTCGAGCGAAACCATCAGTTTTTGTAATATCTGGCTAGCCCGGGTTATCTCGTAAATTAACAGCCCTCGACAGGCAGTTCATCGTTCTGAATCGAAATAATCTTCGCAAAACGTTCGAGGAACACATTTTAGGGATAGGCGTGCACCCGGTGGTCCAAGGAAAAAGCGCATCGCCGCGTTTTGTGGCCGTCGCGTCAATAAAAAGGGAGCATCCGCGAAGTGGACGAACCTCGAGGCGCGCGTGTTCGCGTGTGCGTTCGTGCGTGTGCGCGCGTGTGTGCGTGTTCTGTTTAGCGCGTCGGTGGGGATGGTAAGGGGCGCAAGTCAAGGGTGCATTGGTGCGGAGGACGAGCAGCAGCCAAGAGAAGAGGGGGAATGGGGTTTTGCGGAGGACATGAAAGGGATGCGCGCCGACGCCATTCTCGTCCATTCCTCTCGCAGCGGTAGGAACAGCGAGGGTGGCCGGGGGTGCCGGTGTACATACAAACCGTATATACCGTATGTACCTGTGCGTGCGCGATGGAGACGAGACAGGATATTTTATCTGACACGGCGAAGGCAAATGCAACGAGGATCGAACGCGACGCTCAAACTGAGCCATACAAGACCCACCGCCGATCGCGCGCAAACCTCCTCGCGCTCCTCTTTGCATTCTTATCATCCCATTTTTTTCATTCTTCACCTTACAACATTCTTTTCGTGTCAAGATAACTAATGTTACTACTTTTTGTTTGAACTTCAAACTTAATTTAACATAAATTGTATCCATAATTTTACCGTAATGTTTAATTATAATTACATGAAGTCAGATTGCTAAATAAATTCAGTTTAAGTTCAATTATCTTGGATTTGCATTATAGCATAAACACTTTCAATGTTCCTTTAATCTCAAAAAAAATAAATTTAAATAAATAAAGATTGGCCAAACACATGCACTATTGAGATAAGAAATACGAATATACATTCAAAGCAAATATCCCGTACCAAATGTCACGTGCATTGTAAAGTGCACGGGGGTAGAAAGGGTTAAACATTACGAATGAACAAAAGTGCCATTAACTGTGACCGATTTCGAACAATTTACCTAACAGTTATAATTCCTGAAATTCAATCGGAGGTAATCACAATTACCCTCCGTAATCAAGCTCTTTCAACGACATCCGTCAGCGTTAAATTCTTGATAACGACAGAAAAGACAGTTGGCTGTAATGCTCTAGGAGAGAACGAGTATGATAATAGGTAAATACAGAGCGGGGAGCAATGGCGTAATCGCGCACCTGCAGAGATTTCTACCTGAGCGAACCGCAGGAGCCAGTGGCAGCGGAGGTGGAAGAAGCGATTCAGGGATGTGGGCGGACAGCTCGGCGACAACAATAAGCATTGTGATTTGCGCGGGTGTGCCTTGGCTCTGATTGGTCGGCTTCCACCACCTCCACGGCTCCGTCGTAGGGCCGTCACCGGCGGCCGGGGGTTGTACCGCGACCGCCGCCTCCGACCGAAACAATAGACAATGCGCACCGCTAACGTCGCCCCACCTGATTCCATACGTTTTTAACTCCAATTTTGTTAAATATCACAGATTTAACGTCTAATTTACAACTTATTCGGTCGATGAGATCACGAGTTTCTATTCGCAACGTTAATTCCATAAAAAAATGTTAAGCATTCATACCGAAACGATCAAGAAAATGATAATCTTTGATACATTGATTCGCAGTTTGTTCAAGATTCAAGTGCTTTTATATTTTGGTTAGGTTCTATGCCCCAATATTTGAGACAGATTTCTCAGCTGTTATTTACACAAATTATATTCTATGGGATCGGAACGTACACGTTTTATTAAGATGTCTTGTAGACATTATATGTCATTTGCATGCAGTATTCACATAGTCATTCAACGATGTGTCACACCCTTTACGGGTGACTTTTGAATAATTTAAAAGACATGGTAACCCTTGCATGTCGAATGCAGGATCATTTTGACCCAGTCCATCTTTATACATAAAAATATAAGTGAAGTACTATAACATTGTTGCGGACCAAAGCGATCCGATATTCGACTATCGTTGCCAAGATCTGTTCTACCGAACGAATCCTCCACATAATAGAAGCCGATCAAAACTGTCGAGAAGCAGGGTCGAACGCGAAAGCAGAGGCAGAACCGGTGGCAGGAAATCGGTGTCGGCGATGCAACCTCCGGTAAACGGTACGCGTTACGTTGCCGACGTTCACCGTTCTCGCGTGCCACGTGACGGGGCTCTCCGTTGACTGGTGGGGAGCAAGGGCGAACAGAGAGATGGAAAGAGAGCCGAAGAACTCGAAACGCGCACGTTGCCCATCCACGGCGCTACTACGCCCAACTCCGGGTACCGCTACTCGTATCCTCGTCCCCGGAAGGGGTTGGCGCACCGAGTGGGGGGTGATCTCGGTATCGCGGCACGGAGAACAGAGAGAAGGTCGCGGAGAGGGTGGAAAAGGGATATCGGCGGACGAACAAGAGCGATCCTGGCGAAAAACGAGACGACAACGGTGGCGGCGACGGGAGCAGAGCAGCTCGAGACGAAGGCGTAGACGAGGACGAGGACGAGTACGAGGACGAGGGCAACGGTGGTGGTGGCGTCGGGCAGATAGCTTGCGCCTCGGCGTGGGTGTCGAAGGAAGAGGGCGGTACGTACGAGCGAAAAGGGGCGTG